CTAGCCATGGCCTCCAACCTGAGAGCGGTTGCCTCCAACCTACTAGCGATGGCCTCCAACCTAAGAACGATGCCTCCAACCTAAGAGCGATGGCCTCTAAGAACGGTTAACAAGAAGCACACTTGAGCAATGAAGCTCGAAATTTTGCAGGTTCACTCTCGATTGCCGCACTGGGTGTTTTGTTGACACGTTTCGGAAGGGACTGGACTGGTGGGCAGTTATATAGATTGACTGTAAAAACCCATGCCTCAATACGAGCATAGTTGTGCACACCTAATGCACATAGTTCTTTCATCCTGCCTCCTTTGCCTATACCGCAAGATCGCCTTTGCCTCTCCGTCCGCCTCGTCGCTCTCCTTCTTAGGTTGGAGGCCATCGCTATTAGGACAGCTCCTTTGCTCCTAGTTAGTGTCCTTGCTCCTAGTAGTAAGGCCAGGAGCCCCTAGCAGCGTACTTGCTCCTAGTAGCGATGCCCTTTGCTCCTAGCAGCGTACTTGGCAAGCTCATTGGGACCCAAACGGCTGCCGCAGCCAAAGATGTAGGCTTCACCGGCTCGACATCCTGCAGATCGGCGGCCCTTGGGCCCGAATCGGTCAAAGACGGAGCTACTAAGTAGGTTAGACTAAAGGACTAGAGGCTTATAGTAGCGATGGTCTCCAACCTAATAGGAATGGCCTCCAACCTGCTAGCTACTATAGCTACTAAGTAGCAGTTAGCGTCTACCCATCAGCTGTCAGCTACCCTGATTGCAAACGAAATAGACCGAAATGCCTGAAAAACCCTCACAGAGCTCCACAGAATACTTTCAGCTGACACCAACAGAATAAGTCCTTTCGGATGTTTTTCTTAGCATGGATGCGTTATTAAGTAAGATCTACAGTGTCGAACAAGCTCTTGTGTATCTTCAAGGCGGCTTTGTATCTTGTGTACCTTCTGCAATTGAACCATTGAACCCTTCCTGCACCTTCGCTTCATTGGCGTGCCTGTAATGCGCTAGCCGCTGAGGAAGCAAGGCGTTCATGTCACGGGGGAGGGCAGCAATTTAGACGAGCTAGCCCAAATTCTCTTCTGCTCATAACAAAAGTTGTCTAGAGCTGATCCAAGAATCCAAGATATCCAAGTGCACTGGCTATCATCCAAATAAAACAACTTACTTCGTTTGTGGTGAATGGGTCATGTTTCGTTTGTGGCTCCACCAGCTGGGTCTCCCACACCACTGAAACCTGCCGCACCAAGGCGGGCTGGGGCACCGATGCCACCACCTGAATGGAAGGTGAAACATGAAGAACCGGAAACGCCATCATTTGCGTTCAGAAAACGCAATACTACTAGTAGCTTCTTGTTACTAGTAAGGCCAGAGCCCCTGGTAGCGTCCTTGTTCCTATCAAGTCCCAGACATGTCCATCCCGGAGGGTGTTCATACTACAGTAATAGCGGTAATAGGAGGCCATCGCTAGTAACTGCAAGAGAAGAATGTGTCATACGCATCGAACGTTTCCCAAGAGCTTGCGCCTGCGCTTGTGGCAGAGCCATGTAGACGCTTGATGGCCCGTTGGGCTCAGTCGTCACCACCGATTCAGGTGTGATGCAGGAGCCTCGGGGCTGAGAGGTCCACCAGGCCACCAGGTCCCCCACCGGGCCATACATGGTAGCATGTTGCCCAAAGCCAGGCATAGACCTGAAGCCTCTCCAGATTTTAAGAATAGGCTATTGCTTTTAGGCCTTCTTCCTGTGTCCATTTTTCCAGCGTCTTGAGACATAAGACCTTTGACCTGACAACTGCCCCGACATTGGATTTCACTACAAGCGAACCAAGCACCCTGGCCACTCCAACTACGCGTCACACGGACCAGTGGAGGCTGCCACGAGCCGGTCGGCACGTAAGATGGCACACCTAAACAGGAGAATTTAGGTCGTGTGCGGTTGCAAACATGTACATGCTAGTAGCTTCTAGTTACTAGTAGTATGGATGCTCCTAGTAGTAAGGCCAGGAGCCCCTAGTAGCGTCCTTTGCTCCTAGTAGCGATGCCCTTGTTACTAGTAGCAGTGCCTTTGTGTTTTGCTGCATGTTGTTCGGCAAAATGCCGAAAAGGTGCCGTTCAACGAGATGCCGCGTGTCATCATGGACACGGTCGGGAAAGGCCTCGGCATGCCAATGCAAACTCAGCAACAATCTGGAAAGTACATGAGTCCTAATATGTTTTTCAAAACCGCTAGAGGTTGGAGGCCGGCCATCGCTAGTAGGTTAGAGGCAGGGCTGGAAGCTATCGCTACTAGGTTGGAGGCCATTGCTAGTTTGCTTCGTTTTTGCCTCGCTGCTTGTTATTTTGGCTCAAGTCCAAGCTGACTCAGAAAACTTATGCAGTTTCTTGCCATTTCGTGCCTGTTGCGCTGGGTGTTTCACAATCCGCTCCAAGCTTCTCCAACCAAAGAAGACCGCACTAAGCTCTTGCTGTGCGTCACACCACGCCGACGCGACCCATGCAGCTGCCCAAAGTTTGTAGAATCTTGTGCCAAAACGTTGAGGTGATTGATAAAAAGGACCACTTACTTCGCAAATGCCTTCTAGCCAGGGAGCCACGCATCTGTGCTTGTAACCTGACCACTTGAGGCAGCACGGAGATCGGTGGAGCTTTGTCTTGGGGAGAAATGCGGATCCGCGTGGGCACGAGTGAGGTCGCCCTCAAGGCCTGCAAGAGCTCTTCGGATGCTTGCCCATAGCGCAGGTCGAGACGAAGATACCGTAAACCACTGCCAAAGCGGCAGCACCGATTGCGGTGCATCAATGCTAAGCAGAGTCGATCTGTTACGACCCGATTCATGCAGTAAAGGTCCAGCTTTCTCAGCTGCTCACAGTGCCTGATGACATTCAAGAGTGCATCTTCTGCCCCAGCCGCTGACGAGACGTGGAGGTTTTGAAGAACCAGTTCCTTCAGATTCTCCAGTTTAGGAAGTTCATGGAGCACTTCACTATCGAGATCCAAGGTACACAAATCTAGGCTCAGCAGCGGTGTATGCAAGAAACGACTGACGGCCCAGCTAGGCAGTTGGGGTAAATGAGCCAAGCGCAAGCGAGAAAGTCCCGCACACGCATTCTGAAGCTTCGCAATCTCTTCCTCCAAACGAAAAAACATATCGAAAAGAAACATCGAATGCTTGGACATCCGTACCCCTTTTCCACAAGGTCGTACACCAGTGATTCTGGAACACACGCTTACGGTCTTATTGGTACACACAGAACGCAAACACTCATCCCCGAGCTGCCCTTTTTTGACAAAAATGTCTCAGCCACCCTTGCCCCTAGTAGCGATGCCGTTTGTTGCTAGTAGCTTCTTGTTCCTAGTAGTAAAAATGCTACTAGTAGCGATGCCCTTGCTCCTGGTAGTCACGGTAGAAGCTGGGGGGCACCGCTTTACTAAAAGTCTGATGTAGTTCGCTAAGCAAACAGACGTTGCAAACGTAAAGCCACCAGAACCCAGCCATCCGAGGTCGAGCTGGACCATGATGTTTTTGTGGCAGCTCGGGCGAGAAAAATTGAACTCGTGCAGGGGTATGCCTCCATGTTCCTCCCTGCCTTAGGTTGGATATGGCCTCCTTCCTGCTAGAAATGTTGCCTTCAAGTGGCCCACAACAAAATGATCGACGTTGCTCTAGTTATTCCCCTCCTTGCTGCTCTAAAAAACTCTAAACTTTGCGAGGCATCTGCAACGCACTTCGTTTTATCACATCATTTGATTGCAATAAGACAAATACATACCATGCACCGAACGCATGGTTAAAAAACGGCACATCCAAAACCAAACAACCGAAACTATCAGAAAAAATTGATCAATCAACAAACTCAAACATCAACAACAACGAAAACACAACAAAGACAGCAATGCAGCCACACACAACTTCCAAAGATTAGACAACAATACCTACACTACACACACGACTAAAGCCAAGAGTCGTTTCAACAAACTGCTATAGCCATGGCATAATATCCAAAAGAACACGCTGCACCAAAAAATAATAATCAAAAACCACCAAAAGCAAAAAAAAGAACTCACGCACACGCACACCAAAAAGGAAAAACATCAAGGAAGGGAAACGAAACGGGCACCCACACCACAAAAAATGTAATCATTCACTCGATCACACAAAAACAAAAGAAGAAACAAAACACGCGCGCCTTCAAAAAACCAAAGAATGACTAAACACACGACGCAAACAAAGCACACACACACAAGAACCACGAGAAAAAAAACGACACAGGACTTTTATATACCTCGGCATTGCTTGGACGTCGGTGTCAATATCTCTGACAAATATGAAAAACATTGAAAAACAAGGTCATACAACATAGAAAGACAACTTTGGAATTCGCTAATGAACTTTACTGCATGCAACACAATTTCAGAGAAGAGTCCTCTGATGGTGTGTAGTTGGGAAGCCGTTCCAATTTGAGCGCCAGCAAATTTCCATTCAGCCAATGGGCCATGGGAGACTCAGAGACTGATTGCATCTCACAAGAGCTCACTTCCAGCCGGAGAGGACTTGCTGGAACTGGGAGTTCTCGACATGGCTTGCAGCTGCGAGAATTTTCCATGAAGGCGATCGTCAATGTATTTAGCGAAGAAGATCGCAACAGCTCTGAGACTCCGAAGTTGGTCAAGAGATTCTCGCTCTTGGCCTCCAGTTGTCGAAGATTGGGACAATGTGCGGCCAACAGTCTCCCAAGGTCGTCACCAAAAGGCTCAACCCTTGGAACGTGAAGGCACTCGAGTCGCTCACCAGCGGCCTGGATGATGTCAACTAGTTCTTGTGGAGTGCAAGGAGGGTCCACGGGAATGCCAATGATTTTCAGAGGACATTTGCGCGCAGCCAAGGCAATTACCCAGCTGGGGCAAGCTGAGACTTGCAGCTCCTCCAACCTTGTCAGCCTGCCACTTGCAATCACATCTGCGAGGTCATCATGCAGCTGCCCAAAAATTCGTAGGCACTGAAGCCCTTCCGAAGTGAGAATCGCCGAAGTCACGGGCGCGTGAAAAGGTAGCTCGAGCCTTGTCAAGGCAGGACAAGCGCGTAAGGTGCAAACGACCTTGAAGTGTGAGGCCCTCAAGGACGGCAATGATAGCGCTTGCAACTTGGTAGGTCGAAGCTCTCGTACGACGTCTAAGACTGCAACAGTAAGGTTTTCCTCATTCCCCGACAGGCTAAGACCACGGAGATTTGGACACAACTTGAGAAGTCTATGCACATGTTTGTCAGTCAGGGTGGGCAAACGAAATAGATAGATCAATTCCAAGTGCTTCAGCTGGCCCGATGCATAGGATGCACGCTTCTCCAGCCATTCTAGCAGAGGCTGAAAAGATCCCCAAAAATTCAGCTCATTCAGATGCAGCTGGGGAAAAAGGCCCGAACCCCAAGAGAGCATCCTCAACTCCTGGCAACATACTTCAGCGTCCAAGAGGGATGGGGTGGGCAGCCACTCCAAACAAAGCACCAGCTTGTGTAAAGGGAGCAGCACCTGGCCATCCGCCATGCTCACACTGTTGCCCCGAAAAAAAGACAATCTTAACGGACAAATAACGTCTTGAGAGGCTTCGGCACGTGGAAGGCTGACTGCAACTCTCGTGGGCTCTGGAAAGCACACAGCTCCTTAGGTCCTTAAGGCGAATAGGTCTAGGATTCTCATGGGTTCTCCTTGTCTCGCACCCTGACACCTCTAAGATGCATGTTTTTCACTGAGAAAAAGCACGTTCAAGACGACTTGTCTTACTTGTCCTTGTTCAGTCAGGACATCGCTACTAGGAGCAAGGACGCTACTAGGAGCAAAGTGCCTCCAGTGTATTTCGTCCTCTCTGAGTCCAAAGACGCCAAGGTCGCAGGCTCCAAGCATCTCGAGGAGCTTGGTTTCGGGGCCTCCGGCTTCACCTCAACTCGGCAATTGGGCGTCACCCGAACGGCGAGTTGGTTGTCTTGTGCCTCATAGTCCGAAAGCCTAAGTCTTGATCATTCTTAAGTCTTGTGCCTCAAGGAAGTCTTGCATTGAGTGCTGATTAAAAGGCGTCGCTCTAAGTGGTGGAGTTCGGCTACGGCTACCAACAAAGCCTTTTGTGTCGTTCCAGTTGGCCGTGTGACGATCGCGAAACGGATGTCCATGTGAAAGCTCCATGAGTCAAAAAGCACAGCGAGGTGAGCAGACGATGCAAACGGAAGGGGCTGGCAAAATGGCGTAAATCAGGTCTGCGGGGCATCCTCAGCTGTGAGTTGATTTCGGCCATGGCATGCATTACGACAGACGTTATGACATCTATTCTGGCAGATGTTCCACCGAAATTTCTTCGTACATGTTGCGGCATGTGTTCTGACAAAGTGCTGACGTGGCGTGAAACCCTGCTCACACGACGATTGGGATAGGGCCGTTGTATGGGGATCACGAGGAGGCGGAGATGAGGCGAGGAGGTGAGGAGAAGGAGGCTGCGAAGAGAAGGGAGGATGGCGAGAAGTACCGCTAACATAAAAAGTTGAGACCCTCATGTGGTAGAGAAAACACAAGAATTATATTGCAATATTACTATGTTTATCAGTTCATCAATTTACTTGATGTTATACTTTCCTCGTCAGCACCGCAGAGTGTAAAACAAGTGCTTATAATCTTAGTAGCG